CGCCTCCCCCCCACTCGCGGGACCCGGGGGCCGGGGGGCACGGGGCCGGCAGCGGGCTTGGAGCAGGAGCTGGCGAAGCTGGCGGAGCTGTAGACGCTGACTTGGTCGGTGTCAGAGCGAGCTGCGGCATCCGCCTCACCGCACCAGAGCAGAGCGAGCTGCGGCATCCGCCGCACGGCCCGGGGGTGGGAGCCACCCTGGGAGGAGATGGTGGAGCTGTTGGAGACGATGGTCTCCGTGGACTGCGAGTGGCTCCAGTTGTCGCTGGAGGAGGAGGGCTCGCGGCTGCGGGTGCTGTGCTCCGAGAAGCGGGCGAGGGAGCGCACCGAGGCCGGGCTGGATGACACCAGGCTGCAGCGGCTCAGCGTCCGCACGCTGCTCCGCGTCAGGGCCACCACATCCACCATGGGCGGCAGGATGGCATTGGGGATGATCTTGGACATGTAGGTGCCCTGGGGCGAGATGGACATGACGGGGCTCAGCAGCTCCGGGGGGCTGGCGTTGGTGGTCATGCCCGGCACGGCCAGCGACTTTGGCCTCACCATGGGCGACAGCTTGGCCGCTGTCTTCCTCCCCAGCAACGTGTCGTCGTAGTAAACCCGGTCGATGTGCTTCTGCAGGGCCGTGTCTGCCTCCTCCAAGGCTCCCAGGCAGACGCGGGCGCCCCCGGGGACAGCCAGTGGCTGCAGCTTCCCGTCGATGGTGGGGATGCGGATGGCGTCGCCGGAGACCTGCCCGCCGTTCAGCAAGGGCTGAGGCGCCTGGCTGCCCCCGCGCCCCGCCTGCCCTCGCCCATCAGCCTCGGGGCGTCCCTTGGCTTCCTGGCTGTTCCTGAGACCTGGGAGCAGGGAGAGACGAACCCGGCATGATCCCCAGGCAGAGGCACCCAGCCAAGGCAAACAGAGCCTGGGCAACGAGACCAGACCCTAAAAATCCCCTCTTGCCCCCGACGCTTACCCAGCTCCTTCTGGACATGCTGGGGGATGCCCAGCACCGTCGTCCTCCTCTCCTTCCTCTTCTTGCCAGCCCTCTCCGAGGATTTGGGAAAGGAGTCGTGCGGTCGGAAGGTGGAACCTGGAAGAGGCATGAGTGGGTCCAGCTGGCGTGAGGGGGGCCCTGGCCAGGGCGTCCCCAGTGTCCCCAGCTCCCCCCCACTGCCAGAAATGCTCCAGAACAAGCCGGGCTCAGGCACTCGGCACAGCCCGGAGAGGCACCAGCAGCTGCCAAACAGCCGCGCAGTCTGAGCAGGGAGGAGATGGTATCTGTCCGTCCGTCTGTCCCCCTCGCCCAGCCCCAACGCTCTGACTCAGCCGGAGTTGCTCTCTTCTCTCCAAGGGCCCCCAAATCCCCGCACTGGCTCGTGGCCACGCCAACGCAGAGACCAGCTTTCCTGCCATGCGCCCCGTCCCCCCTCGTACCCTCTTGGCTCGCGTCCCCCGGCCTCGCGGACCCCCAGCTGGGTACCTTTCCGCTGGATCATCTCGGAGCGGATGGAGAGGGCGTCCTCAGAGGTGCTGTCCGTGGCACAGGAGGCCGCCCGGCTCCGGAAGGACACACTGTCATCCTCCGAGGATGCGCAGGACTGCGTGGGCAGAGAGCGGGCTCAGGCAGACCCCGGGCTGCGGGGACGGGGAGCTGCCCTGGCCCCCACCAGGCCCCTTCTCCGCCGCAAACTGACTCCGCAGCCCAGCGCTGCCGAGACAAAAGCTTCTCCGAGGGCCAAAGGCTGAGTCAGCCACGCCGGCATCCAGAGTCCTCCCACCAGGAGCGGGGCTGGGAGCAGCCCCAGGGACCCCGCCTGGCC